CAACCTATGCCCGAAATTCCAGAGACACATTTATATTTTACTAAGGTCCTATTACCGCTTGAACTTACTTTATAAGTAATTTTCTACTCCTTTTCGACCTACGTGGCACTAGCTTGAAAGAAAAAGTCAATCAGCATTGGGCCCACAAGATAGTGTCACGTAGGCCGAAAAGGGGTAAAAAATTATTAATAAAATAAGTTTAGGGAGGTAATAGGACCTTAGTTTAGTATAAGTGTGTCTCTGAGATCTCGAACATGGGATACTTGTGCATTTATCCCTTATTAATAATATATCCATTCATTTCTCAACAAATATTTGTTGATCAAAAGTTGAGTAAAGGACAACTTTTATTCTAACAAGGGAAGTTTGGTTACATAAATGTGAAAATAAGAGTAAGTGTAATATTTGAAAGACTGAATCTACAAGGGAAGTTTAGTTTAATTATTCCTTTTTCTTTTTTCTAATAAAAGGAACAAAACTATCTTTAAACTATTCAAAATGGATAAAAATATAACCTTAACTATATTTTGACTCAAAAGTGTCCTTCTCATCTAACCCTTCTGTTTAACGAAGAGTTACGTGGCATCCATATGTTCATCAAAATGCCACACGGACCTCCACATGTGCATGCCAACACATTCAACCTCCACATTTCATCCTTTCACCAGCCCCAATTTCTCCATTAAAAGACCTAAGAATATTGGGGCCATTTCGGAGAAATATTAGTAATATCTGAAAGTTGATGTGGTTGTTAAATCTAAAATAGTCTACTAAAGCTCAACATTAAATAGACAAGTATTTGAATTTTCTATAAGGTGTGAGCTTCTAAGACATGCCCCTAACTAACTCCAACCTTGTCTTAGCCATACATAAATGATGAGAATTTATGTATTTTTGGAACCAACAACGATTACATAGTTGATGGTGAATCACTTGATTTTCACAAGAAAAATCCAATCGAACATGGTTATGCACACAAACATAGTTTATTCAAAAGGAACAAGAATGGAAAAAATTTAACGTTGGATACATTTTAACAAGAAATGTCCCAAGCAAACTAAAAGACCGCGTCTCTAAATGGATTTTAAAGAAACGTTACTAGCTTTAGATATAAAATGTGCTTCAGAGTAATGAATTATAAAACATATTTGACAGTAACGTATTATGCTTAAAACGTTAACGTTTTCTTTATTTTTATTTAACGCCGTTAGCCATATATTTTGCACGTCAGAATTTTTTTAAATTAAATAGATATAACCTAAAAAATGTTACTCAAGAATATGTTTATACTAGTTTTGTAAATTTTCAAAAAGAAACATATTACTTTAGTGAATTGATTTAAACGATGACTTACTTTAATTAAAAAATTCGTCAAACAGTATTTGTATGTTACTTCTATAACAATTGGTTCAAGATTGGTTCCTCTTACAACACAATACTATCTTGGAATAAACAGATCTTTTAGAAAGTGATGAAATATATAATTTATGCAATTGTACCGGTATATTCATGAGGCTCCTCGATGGTTTACAAACCTAGAAGGTAACAACTCTTGTATTTTTTGTTTTAATTTTAGTTTGGCTTATCAAGATAACTTTCACGTAATATATATATATATATATATTACGTGAAAAATTATATTAAGGCCCCTCTTAAAAATTTGGCTTTAGATTCCCAATCTTGTTAAGTCGGCCTGTTAATAAATAATATTATCTAAAAGTATTCACATATTATCTAGATAAATAATATAAAGAGGTGGAGTTGGCTGATGGGAGGGAGGGGTGTGAGGGGTTAGGAGATGGACAAAGATGAGATGTGTTAGAAGTTTGGAAAAAAGACCATAAATCAATATAAATCGTCGCTCTAGATTTATCATTCTTTCATTTCATTCTATTGATTGCCTCTAGCTCCAATGAACATGGAATTATGTCAACTTACGTACGTCTTAAAAAATATTGTATTTATGTTTGAGATCGCCTCTATATGATTCATCCTAAGTAGCTTCACTTGGAACTCCACACACGCGTTTGTGACCCGTAATTGGGTCTGAGAAAGTCATACTAGACAAAACAGTTTCTGAAGTTTTTTTCACAAGTCCAAGCTATGGGCCGTACTTCAAGTTACGATCTGTAAATAGAGTTCGTAGTTGTCAAACTCTATTGGAGTAGTCTGGTAAAACGGTCATAACTTTTACTCCGAACACTTATTGACACAACCTTGGGGACATTCAAAAAAAAAACTCATAGGCCTTTAATTTGGTAGGTCATGGCCACCTAATTCATTATATATTGAGAGCTATGATCGTTTGAAATTGACCCTTGAATGAACTAATGCAAAACATAGCCGGTAAGATGGTTTTGAACTCAACTTAGTATTAAAGGTCTCTTATGACCCTAAACCACTTCTCACACATAGGAATGAATCTCAACACATAAGATTCAAGCTTATAAACTTATAACAAAAGATTAGAATCATAAGAATAGAGTTGCGAGATGTTACAAAATATATAT